GAATCTAATGGAAATGTAACGACAAGAATCTCAGTGAAAATGTGATGTTTGTATCTTGGCAAATGAGATTTGATTCTCTTTCTCAAGTCAAAGTATCTTTTTTACAAAATGAATATCACATCTCCTCTATCATAGTATCTTTTTCTATTTATAGGGAACATACTCGTAACAAACCCTAATAGTACAAGTGCATAGAATATCCACTAGAATATTCTCTGTCATATCATATCTTGAAGCTAGCCGTTGTAACCTCGAGAAAGGCGCTCAACCTCGGCCTCAACCCTTGTTGATTCTTCGACTTCGTCCTTTGTTGACTCCTCGACCACAGACTTAGTCACTTCTCGGGCCATTTCAATAAAGGGCGACTTGGGAACTCTTCCCCTAATGCTATCTTGGTTTTAATATCCTAAAGATAGATTTTGACTCATACATCTATTACTGCAGTTTTACATGAATTCAGGATTCTTCAGCTTGAATTCTTTGGTCTAGCCACTAATGCCACAAGATAACAGTGTGAACTAGACTAGCTCGAGTAAAATACAGTAATTACAAGGAGTCAAAAGAGTAGCAACACCTATGCTACGTAGATCATATTTGACTTTTAGTGGTGTGTGTAATCAGAAGCAGACAAACTAGAGTACGTGGTCTAGAAAATATTTGCCGAGCAGCTTTTTCTTTTAAAAAAAAAAAAAAAGAACAAATAAAAAAGAGAAGGATGTAGCACTTTCAGTAAGCACCAATGCACCATCACATTCCGAAGCTTCAGCTTTTGTTTCCTTGTCCATTTCTGTTTTCGCTACTTGAATTGGAGATCAAATATGATGGCCTAGAAGTTAGGACCACCAGAAGAGTTATAAATGGTAACAGGAAAACTTGTTCGTCTTCCACTAATTAAAAGTTTTTAAATTCCAAAAAGAAAAAATGCTCTTTATGCTATGTTAGAAATTTTCTCATTGATAATTCAAATAATGTAACATATTCGTGCGTTGCATCTCTCAATTCTTTCAACAACAAAAATCGGAAGCAGAGTCGGGGCCTCAAATTTGAAACTCGATCTCAGACAAATGAATGATACCTGAATAAATTCTTCCACAGTCATAAAATAAACTTGCAGCGAGAAATAGAACAGCGGCCTTTAGCACATTCCTTCAACACTATAAATCTTAACTAGTACTAGAAAACAAACTGAATCGTGAAGTTAAAATCTAACCAGGGGATGCTCAAATGGGCCTAAAAAGAATTGAAGCTGGTATTCTCACTACATCTATAAACAATGAAGAAAATGAGTTGAAAATTTGTAATGAACACAAAAAGGAAAGTGACTACTGCTAGATCTTACTTCCACCGCAGGGATTGCCTTATCCCAGTGTGGATAAGCCCCAAAGACCGTCCTATCAAGCAAACCAAAAAGAACGAGATAGCATTGCTCAGCTTAGAAATAACAGTTCTTATCACCGGCATTGCAATATCAGCCAATTCAAGGAGAAGACTGTAGTAATATCTCCTGAAAGGTAAAGAAAGATAACGACAATAAGTAAATTATACTTCGGGCTTGCTAATGCCTGCACAAGCAAAGACGTAGGGCAGTAACAAGATGATTCAAAACAGCTTTTCCATGTATCTTTATCTATGGAATAAGACTTAATTGACCAAAAAGTCTGTTAAGGCTTCAACATTTTGAGATGCCAATATAATCAGTGATGTAATATGCCAACTAAAAAGACCGATCCACAACCAGGATATGTGGAAACAACATTCTCACTGTCTAGGAACAATTCTCAATTTGAACAGCATGCCCAATCTTTCGGGCAGCTCTGCAGTATTTGATAGTTAAAAAGATCATCTAATTAATTGACAAAAAACAAAGATTCTCATTATTTTGTCAGGCTCAATAATATAAACCTGGCACACTTCATGTTTGTACAACAGCCCGCAATTTTACCAACAATTTCCTAATTGGTCAGTAGTAGAGCAAGTGCTCTGAACCTTACTATCATGTCCTTTAATTATAATTGCAATTCTGTCACCTTAGCATAACCAACTATCAGTGTAACTCTCTCGGTAAGCAATCATGCATTTCCTCTGTCTATGGTCATAAAATTATCTTATATCTGCATTAACTAAGGACATATCAGCTCCAACATTGGGACCAAAGCTAATTTTTTCTAACATCCGGACCCAAGTATCGCAGGTAATGAACTGAAAACCAAAATTACATGAAACATCCATAACTAAGAACCTTGACAATTATCCGAGAAGATCCCAGGGTCCAAGACATCACAAGAAGAAGACCAAAAAATTAAATGCATGATATGAAATAAAGCATGAGAAATGAAGGACTCCACTTACCACCCAGTTAAGGCCCTAAGTTCCTTGGTTCGTTTAACAGCTACAGAGATTTGGTTGATCACAACAGTATTCAGTTGAGATAAAACAGGCTGAGAACTCATCACCCTAAGCTTCTCCCACCACTTCACATTTTGAACTTTGCTCTTGCTAGATTCCTCGATAAGATGGCATTGCAATGTGCACAAGTCAAACCGATCTTCGTACATGGAAACAACTGCGTCCATGTTCTGATGCAACCATTGTTTCAGAGCAACCTGTTAAAACATTTGAAAGGCAAAAATTCATCAGTAGATCAACATATTATAAATTGCAAAATGCATGTCCCTCTCAGACACGGCAGGTAGCTTATAGCTCTAGACTCCAAAACATTTATGATTTTACAAAAGTTTATTTTGATATTTAATGGTTCTTTCTATTTTGTTAAGGTACAGTATTATTAATAAAAGGTGTACCAAGAAGGTACACAGGCTTTTGATATTTAATGCATTTCCTCCACCAAATTCATCCACCGTCAGTTATCATGAAATTTGTCTTTTTCATGCAGAATTAGAAACTTGGCTGCTCCCCATACTTAGATAATCTCCCCTGCAGAATGTGGCTATTTTCATTATTCAGTAAAGATCATTAGATCTCCACTGTTTCAGTAAAGACTATGTGCAGTAGCAACCTGGTATTCCCATATATAAGTAGCAATTGGACAAAACGTTAACCCTAATAATCAGCCAAACCACATCGAAGTCCATGAAATCCTTCGACAGGCAAGGAGAAGTTCAGTTAACCAGAGAGAAAAGAAGCTGCCACATTATTATATCAGCTAACAAGACCATTCACTGCTAGAATTTCCGCGATTTTTTACGAAGGAAGTCGTTGGAAATAATAAATTTCCGACAGCTTTTGAGGCTTCAGAGAGGTCTGAAACCAACTCGTCTCAATGAATTTTTGAGGGAAAAGAGTTGTCATCAATACTTTTCGACGGCATTATAACTGCCGTTGGTGTATGAAAGAGCTAGTGATGGTTTGAGACTTTTCAACGGTCTTCCATCAGTAAATAGATTTTTGACGGCCTGCCATTGGAAAATGTCACGTTTGGAAAAATATTCTGCACTTTCGGTGGTTAAGTCATTTTCAAGAATCTTTTTTACCTTTTTCAGAGGCTTTACCCTGGAAATCGTCAAAAATCTGGAGATTACACTGCAAGACTGTTCTAGTTTTATGTCTAACACATTACCTATCAACTTCAACAAACAAGCACATCTAATAATCCACTAAACCTCCACCAAACAACAAACGCATTCACCAACATCAGAATATCCAACAAAAAAAACATCACATAAGCAATTACCAATGTCAAAACGAAATATTAGTTAGCTTTACATATTGCTTAGAAAAACAACCAAATCTATTGTTTAGTGCATTCAAAAACAACAGAAGCTACTCATCGGCACCTCCTCGCCATCATCATTAGGGTCGAGGAGGGAGGAAGGGCCAAATTATTATTTTCTAGGAGTCTTCTGACCAATATTGTAACAACTTCATCTACCAATTTTCTCAATGAACCTTTGTAGAAAGGTTGAATTGAATGGCAGGGGAGTGTTTAGTATTGTGAGGGGAAGACGAGGATTTAGCACATAGAACCGTCATACTATTCTAACATTTTAATATAACAATGGCCAGGCCATTGAAAAGTTTCAAACTATCACAAGCTCTTTCATACAACAAGGGTAGTTGAGAATGCCGTCAAAAAGTAACGACAACATCTCATTTCTGTTAAAAATTCATTTCAACAAGTTGGTATTCGACCTCTACGAAGCCGTGGACCGACAGAAATTTATTTTTACCGCCTTTCCAGAGACTTCATCAAAAATCCCGGAAATTTAGCAGTGAGAGTAGTTGGAGGTGACATGTGAAACTTTAATTAATCCTTGTTTCCCCATCCCTAAAAGCTAAGCCTACTTAGAACAGCAGTCTACAAAATATAAGATGTGCAACTCAATATTTATGCCATGAAATTTATACGTTTAACGCATAACCATGTCAATTATACATCGCAAACTTTAATTTCTTTCAGGCTTCATCTTTTCTTCAGAATCTTTAGGAGACAAGTCCAGCATATCAACTTGCTAGAGAAAAAGGATCATTTCGATCATTAATGACTTTAGTTTAAACTTGTATTATGACAAATAAAGGAAAAATGCAATGCCACTACCAACTGGTAACATGAGCACAGAAAACAAAAGCCAGCAGGCAGAACCCTGAAGTATCAACTTATAGTCTCCATCAAGAATATCTAAGAAAGAGAAGATGTGATTCTGAATGAAGACAAGTTGTGAATATATACAGAGGAGGATCCATGATTAACACAATTAAAAAAATGTTTGAAGCCACAGAGAAGTAATACCTCATTGCGTAATTTCTGAAGTGCCCGCGTTGACAATGTACACAAACTCAACCCTAGGTTGTTCATTTCATTTGACATACTACTATCAACAGACATAAGCTCCAAATACATACTTGCAATCCCATCTGCCAACATTATCACCAAATCCTCCAGTATAGAGACTCCATGCTCCATAAACAAGCTATCACTATAAAAGCCAGCTTTCCTGCCATGATAGACATTAGAGAACATTAAGGCATCTTCTGGATTTTTCTTTTTTTTTTTTCCTTTTGGGTTGGGAGTATCCAGACTCCATAGGGACATCAAACCATACCAACTGTGAGGAGAACATAAGAAACAGTAGCAGACCAGAACTTTTGTTCTGTTTCGGTGAAGCTATAGTGACTATTTGAAAAGACTTTAATGTTCATGGGAGATATCCAAAAATGTGGTAGCATGAATTTTTTTTTTCTTCTTGAGAAGGTAAAGATTTTATTAAAACAGTACCAAGATGGTATTTAAAGATACAGAGAACATCCCAAAACAACAAACACTTCCTACATTCCACCTAACAAATCCAGGAAATCCATAAACTGATACAGATCCACTAAGAACTACCCTAATACCAATGTGGTAGCATGAAATAAAGGATGAGAAAAAGATTCTTCTGACACAACAAGAAAAAACAATGTTCAAAAGAGGGACTCAATACCCGAACATTGACAGCATAAAGAATAAGAAGAAGAAAAGATATTTTTAGAGGCTGAAACTCTAACAACATGAAGAACAGGAATAGAAGACTTTCTAGAGAAGTGCTTGGAAATTCAATGGTAAAACATAGAGACTCTTTTGCTTGAAAAATTACCGGAAGCATGACTGTAACGCAGGACAAAGGAGGTGTCGTCGTAAGGGCCACCGGAAAGAGCAATGTTCCAAACACTCATCCAAAAGGTTCACTGTGTTGTGGAACAGTCACCAAAAAAGTCACAGATGGTAAACATATGAAAGAAAGAACAATTCGAAGTAGGACGCATAAGGCCATGTCAGTATGCATTCTTGGAGCTGAAGAGGAAGAAGGCGTACAGATATGTGATTTCCAAGATTGAAGAAAAGCAAAAGGGTTTGTTTTTGAGAAAACTGGTAGCCGTGCTGAACTTCGATGATTTATTGCTTCTTTGGTGGTGTATGACTTTGATTTTGTGACTTCGGAGAACTGCCAGAAAAGCAAGACATTCTTTTTTCATCTTCTGCAACCTCTCGTATCTTTGAGCCCTCTGTAGCAAGCCCCAGCTTCCTTAAATCAAGGTAGAGAATTAGCAGGGCCTTACCCCCTTATAGTGAATGGTGTCTGCAGCTTATGTTCGGCACTATTACTCGCACAGGAAAATTCTTCTTAAATAATAGGCATCTGGGAAGGCTGATTTCCAGTTACCCATTTAGCTTGTTAGTGTATATGGTGTTGGTATTGTTTTTTTCTTTTTCCTTAGATGTTTGAAAACTTAGGAAGTGTGTAACAATACCAGTGGTTCCCAAGCAGCAACAAAAATGCTACATATCGATATGCAGAAGCTACTTGAATATCTGTCAGGATCGTAAATACTCTGCTACCTTGTTGAATTGTCTAAAAACCTTATCTAAAAAGATTTTTTATTACTATTTATTTAGGTATACAGAACAGCCTCTCGACCTTCCCAAGGTAGGGGCACGGTCTGCATACACACTACCCTCCCCAAACCCCACTTGTGGGGTCCCACTAGGTTTTTTGTTGTTGTTATGTAGGTATACAAAACATCCTCCTACATGCAAGCCCAATTCTTCTTGAGCCAAGCACTTGATAATACTTTCTTTATAGTGGCACTGACTCTCCGACTGAGCACCTCTACCAACTCTTTTTTAATAAGATTGGAAAATTTTATTGAAAGAAAGTACCGAGGTATAGAAAAGTACAAACAGAGACTGAATAGCTGTTACAGTCAACTCAGCATATCCAAAATCTTCAAATACTGAAACAAATCTTTAAGAGCCCGTTTGAACATAAGAAATTTTTCCCTTTTTTCCAAAAAATTTTCACTTTTTTCCGAAATCAGTGTTTGTTCATAAAATTTTCAATTTTCACTTGAAGATGCATTTTGGAAATTTTCGAAAATTTGAAAAACTCCAAAAAGCTGTTTTTCAAAATTTTCACTCAAATCACTCACAAAACTTCAAAAACAATCCAAAATTATATTCATGTCCAAACACAACTCTAAATTTCAAATACCATTTTCACTTGGAAAAAAATTTTCCTCTATTATTGGAATTTTACAATTCTTATATCCAAACGCCCACTTCATCTACTCTTTCCTTACACTAAAAATATAAATTCTGCAAACATCTATTCTTCACAATAGTGATATGAGAGATTTTGCCTTCAAAACACCAACTCTTCCTCTCCAACCAAATGTTCCACATGATGCAAAGAGTGTGGTATTAGAGAACCTCCACCAACTCTAATACCAATTGTTATAAAATGAACCATAAAGCACAACCCGAAAGACTAGCTTGTTAGGTGGGAGAGCTTATTCAATCTATAAACTCACCACACTATATGAAATTGTTGTGGGATAGGTCCTTGTTCAAGTTGGTTCATTACAAATTTAAATTGACCAGCTTATCACAATTGGCACCCATTCCTCAGGTCTAGGCAATCACTCTTGGCAATTATCACCCCCACTCTGAGCCCAAGCCACCTCTTAGAGCCACGGCCTCAAGCATCGATCAACCAATTCTGATGTAAGGTGAAAGAATTTGACAATCACATCCCCCCACCCCCCCACCCCCGAAAAAGAAAAGCGTTAAGGCAATGGGCAGAGTAGGGAAAAACATAAGCCTTTTTCAAAACATCAAAAGCTCCTACAGACAGTTCAGAATGAAAGAATCAAGGCAATTCATTCTGCTAAAAGTACACATACATAGAATATAGCAGGAATATTGTTGACAGCAGGCTTAATCACTAGTTCTTTACTCAAAGAAAAGGTAAACGAACAGAAGAAATAAACATAAGAATTATTGTCCATTCTATATTCATATGACTAAGAGAAGCAAGGGCTGGTTTTCTTACCTGACAGAACCAAATCTAAGAACACAGATTAATTCAGCAAATAGATGGTCCTTCCCCGACTTTCTGATGTTTGTCAGGACTCCATATCCGTTTAAGTTATTAACCAGTGAAGAAAGACATTCCTGACAATGTAATAGGAAGAAGAAAGATCTAAATATAAACAGACTTGAGCCTATGTTCTTTCCAAAATTCAAGTATATGTTTCAAGTCATACCTTGTTAGTATTGCCATTGCTCAATGAGAGTTCCTCTTCCAGCCAAGTAACACATAAAGGCTGACACAACATCTGAATGACATCATTAAAAATGGCCAACAGGTTGCCACTACTAAAGTTAACAGCATTTGCAGAAATATTATCAACCTGTTAAGGTGCAAACCTGTAATTAAAGACTGAAAAGGAAAGAAAAGTAACAAAAATGAACTGTATAACCAACAGTTCTGCTCTTCCGTCTTCCAATTACTGTCGATGTGAAACATTAAAAGGCTAATGCCCCAGTAACACCACAAATTTTGTCATAGACCCCAAATATCTGACTCAAAAATATTGATAAAGAAATTGCTGCATTCATAATAAACCTTAGCAGTGCAAACTATGCATCAACTGACACCTATTAAGAAACTGGACTTTTTTCTTTATAAGGCTATTTAGATGATAGACCTTGGACCTAACTCAACCTTGAAAGCTAGCTTGAAATGTGAGGATTGTTCAAGACCTTATAAAGAGACTACAACCATACCCTGAATCAATGTGGGAATTCAACACCCCTCCACATGCCAGAGCTGGACATCTGGAGCGAGATAAGATTAAATGAGCACATAATTGGGAACCCAACATTAGGGATGAGTATGGTGCTGATTCAATGTTAAGAAAAATCGACATTAGACCTAACTTAATCCCAAAAGCTAGCTCATGAGATGAGAAATGTCCAAGATTAGAGAAATGATGCTCATACCGTCAACCAATGTGGGACTCGTTGGTCAAGCGTATGAGCTATTTTCTTAACAAGGTATCAAAGCCAAACTCATCTATGTTTTTGTATTGCCCAATGTCCAGCCTTGTGTTATGTTATCTACACTACAAGATGTCCATCGTTTGGCTTGCGAGGGATATTAGAGCTAGTTGCCCACCTCATTTTCAAGATTGGTTAAGTCATTATTTTATCGTTACAAGATTGGTTGTGTCATACCAGTACGTTTGATAAGAATATGGGGAATCTAGTGGCCATAATTATCTATCCCCTATTGGTCAGGTGCATGAGCTGTTTTCTTAACAAATCCAATTCGAATGTACCTAATTCTTTATTATCTCCACTAGTTTCACGAGTAAATGAGTCTACTTCAGCCAAGTTTACCTGAATTTTTAGTACCAAACAAGAAAATTCCATTTTATAATACTCCCTCTGGTCCACATCATTTTACCTTTGGCACACCCATTAAGGAAATACGAACTCCTGGAGAAGAAAAGATGTATTCACTAAATTAACCTTAATTAATTGTTACCTTGACACATTGGAATATGTAAAATAAGGGCAAATTTTGGAAAAATAAAATTAATTCCTTCTTGATTATGTAAATGGACACTTATTTTGCACCAAAATAAAAAGGTAAATGGTCACTTATTGTGGACCGGAGGGAGTATCACCAAGATGTTCAAGATTGGTTGAGTCATTCTTTTAATCAAAAATGAATATGAAGGATCTAGTGGTCGTAATTAACTGTCCCATATTTTTCAGGTGTATGAGTTGTTTTCTTAACAACACTAATTCAAAACTACCTAATATCCTTTATTTTGCTCCACTAATTACATGAATAAATGAGTCTAGTTCAGCCAAGATTACCTAATATTTTAGTATCAAACAGGTTTTCCATTATCACCAAGATGTTTTATTCAAATGCATAAGGCAATGATAGAGACAGTGCCTGCCTCTTTCTTGAGTAACTGAAAAGACGTCCACATCAACCTTAATCTTGGACCTTGAGCAAGGGCAGACAAATTTGAAGGCTGTTTTCCATGTAACTGTTCAGATTCAAGGCTTGTAGCACCAATATCCCCTCGTTTTATGGAAGAGAGAGAATTCATCAGTTTTCCTTTTACTACATCCCATGCAAACTCTATGCTGATGCGATCATCATTTTTCCTCTCACTGCAATTAAACATGGAAAAGGTGCAAAGCGATACATAGATCAAAGTATCAAACAACGCCAAAGACTGAAATGCACCTTCAATCAACCAACAATACGACTTCCAATAAAACAAAGGTCTCGTCTAGCAACCATTCTTACCTACCCAAAACGGATGATCCGTCAGTGTCAACATTTCCGCTTTGGATCCTTCCTCTAGCATCTAAAGTAGAATTTTCTTCGGAAGGTATCACTCCAGCTATATATGTAAGCACTATACTAGTCATGAGAAGCATTTGGTCAATGGTAGGAACCCATTCGAAAGTTACTGCAGCGTCAGCATCAACCAGAGATGCTAGGCAAAAGCACCTCTTGCAACTCTGCATGTTTGATCTTCTCTCCAGTTTTATTAAGTACGGTGTAATGGCCTTCCGAACGCTCAATGATGGCAAGCAGGATACTTTACAACTCTCAAAGCAAAATCCCCTGAACCAAAGATAGCACATATCAGACATCACTAAAGTAAAGTTTTTTTCTTTTTCTTTTTAATGGCAGTGACCCTATTATTCTGATGGCTATGCAACAGCAAAGAAGAAGAAATGCTATATCTATTCGACGTGGAAGCCTAAGATTTGAATTCCATAACCTGCAACCCTAAGGGCATAAAGAAGTGTTAGGGTGACGCAGTCTTCTTTTCATATCTTTATCTTTTTTTTTTTTTTTTTTGCAACTAAATCCTGAGAAATATAAGTGGCTAGATCAGGAAACAAGACCTGCGTACTAACATAGGTGAACTTTTAGGCATGAAGAGTTGTTGTTTTGAGAACTTTCCATAGTCAAGCAGGTTAAAACTTGAACAGAAAGCCACTTGTCCTGCCATATGTAATTTTGTAGAATCAACTGCTTTTCAACATGCTGCAAGATGTTCGCACTGCCTAGGCTTCCAAAG